TGGTGCCGACTGTTTTACAAAACTAGATGTATGCTGAGAATAAACGTAATGAGTTATATTTAATTTCATTACTCATTGTATATCTGTATTCCTCTTTATCATTACTTGTGGGTAAGTGGGAAGCTGAATATATGCTAGTAGTCTTCAGAGTATTTTTAAATGAATGCTTCTCAAGTTATGGGTATTGCAAAATCAGCAAGGAAATTTAAAGGGTTATTATGAAATAATAGCAGGATTTTTTTCATTTTCAGAACCAAAATGAAATTGGATATTCATCTCATTTGTATTTTTTTATGAGTTGGTACATGAATTATATATGGAAAAATATATCTCTTGAAGGCATTTGCTTGAATTTTCTTGTTCTAGTATTTTAAAATCTAATAACATCATCTTTTAGAAACTTAGAAACCGACAAATAGACCCATTTAACTTGATGAAATTGTTATTAGCATTCTTATAATAAAAAAATTGATGATAAAAGGACACAATGTCTTATTACATTAGTAGTAGTAGTATCATACGTACTTTAAGGCTTATCAATTTTAAGAAATTATTGGTTATTTGAAAGACAGTGGAATGATATAGATAAATGAATCTTAAACATCCTTCTATTACTTGTTCTCTTGTTCACCCATTTCTGTGAGAGAAGACAATTATCACACATGCCGGAGGTTCCTCAATCTTGGAACAATATTGGTAAGTTTACAGAAAATATTGAAATACTAAATGTGGTTTGTTAAAATTGCCACATGTAACAAATAAATTTAATTTGATGAATTGCGTAGACTATGTTATTTACTGAATGACATTTTGTATAACAATCAGGGTGGTTCATGAAATAATACAATAACTACACAAGAGACATATGGAAGAAAATAATTTCTACTACTAGGTACTGAATTTAAAGTCAGAAAATAATAGTATATGTACATCTACTCTAGACTTAAAAATCAATATATGAAAGGAGATCACATACAATACACGTGATATTTTCAGTGTGACATTGTACATGAAACAAAAATTTGACATGGAGTAAAAAAATATTCTATAAGTTTTTATATCATCTTAAACCTCCTGCTTTCTTTGTGGCATGCTAATTTACACACTATTTATAGAATACAAAAAAGAGTAAAGGAAATAGATACAAGTATAGAAATCAATAATGATAGAAAAAGTGTTGACGAGAATGCTAATTATGGTAGTAAACAAAAGTAAACCAAAGACAAAGATAATGAGGATAGATATGATATGTATTGTAATGAAAATATCACTGATACATATAACTATTGCAGTAATCCCATTTATAACATAAATGATAATACCAGTAAATAACCCAAAGTTCCAATAAGAATAACCAACTATTGTTCAGTAATAATTACCAAAGCATGAATGATGGTAATGATCCTCCTGCCATTTAACTGATGAGAATTATGTGCTTAATTGTAATATTATTGTTGCTGATGTTGCCTCTATTGATAATTCTGTCAATTTTATTATCATCATCATGTTCAAGAGAAATTATACCACTTCACATTATTCCATGAAAATAACTAGAGTAATAACACCATTATTAGTGAGTCAAAAAGTAACAAATGAAATTGTAATTATAATCAATGATAATGATAAGAATTGCAAACAATAATGATAATCTTAGTACCCCTGATGTAATAATAACAATGGTAATGATAGTGTTGATGATACTGATATTAATAATAGTGATGATAATAGTAAAATTACTAATGATGATGACAATAATAATGATGATAATGATGATATTAATAATGGTTAAAATGATTATCATAATGAGATAATATAGTAATGATAATGATGATAGTAAGGATAACAATGATACTAATAACAGCAGTAGCAATAGTAATAGCAATGATAATGATAAGAATAATAATATTGATAGCAAAGAATATAATGATAATAATTGTAATGAACAATAGTAACAATGAAAATGGTAGTAAAGGGAATAATGATAATGATAGTAAGGGGAAAATTGATAATTGTTATTGTCATCATAATGATCATAATGATAATTTTTACTACTGTTACTAATGATGATATTAATGATAAGAATATTAGCAGTGTTTATGACAATAATGATAATATTAATGACAATGATGATCAACTGTGTTATTATCATTGGTATGTTATTTAACCATCATAGAAATAAAGATGAATATTACTATTCATTGTTGTTTATATTGAAATGTTATCAGCTTTTTTATCATTATTATCACATATTATTATTTAATTATGATTATTATCATCATTATAGATTTTTCCAATAACAGATGATAATGAAATGACAGTTGACACTAACAATACTAGCATGATTGAGAACAATCATTACTATCAAGATAATTATTTCCATTTTCATTATCATTATTATTATAATTATCATTATTTTTTTATTATATCATTATTGTATTACTATTGTTAATGATACCATTTTTATTATTCTATTAGCATTACTGTTAATGTCATTGTTATTATTATTATTCATTATTATTATTATTTTTGTTGTGGTTGTTGGGATGGTGCTGATGTTATTATTGTTGTTTTTTTATTGTTATCATTATTATTATCATCATCATTATCATGGATCATTAGTATTTTTATAAATATGATTAAGATGATGATGATCTTTACTATTATTATTATTATTATTATTATATTTTATTATTATATTATTATTATTATTATTATTATCATCATCACTATTATCATTATTAGCATTAGTATAATTATTTTTGTTATTATTATTAATATCATTATTATTATCAATATTATTCTTGTCATTGTTATTGTTATTGTCATCATCATGATCATTATTAATGTTCATATAATCGTTGTTGTTATTATTGTTATCATCATCATCATTATTATTATTATAAAAAATATTATTATAATTTTTATTGGTATGGTGATGATGATTATCATTGTAGTTATCACTATTATCATCATCATGATGATTATTGATATTAGTGTTTTTAGTATTATCATCAATATTATTATTGTTGTTGTTGCTGTTATTTTTATTATAATTATTATTTCTTTAATTATTTTGACTATTATTATCACTGTTATTATTATCATTACTATCATTGTTGTTATTGCTATTGATATTATTATTTCCACTATTATTAGTAGTAATAGTATGTTTGTGGTGGTTTTTTGTTATTTCCATTACTATTATTTTATTATTATTATCATTATTATTATTATTATTATTATTATATTATTATTATTATTATTATTAATCAATGAGTTTTTTATTAGTAGTAGTAGTAATATTTTTATTTTTAAATTTTTACTATTATCATCATCATTGTCATTTTTGTATTATTATTATAAGTATTGTTTTTCTTATTTGTATTATTTTGTTATTGTTGTTTTAATTATATTTTTTGTTATGCGTATCAGTATTATTATCATTATTGTTATGAATATTATTATTATATTATTATTTAGTTTTTTTTTATTATTATTATCATTATCATTATCACTACTATTATTATCATTTATTATTATTTTTTTTTTATTATTATAATAATAATAATAATTATTATTATTATTATGATTATTGTTATTGTTATTGTTATTGTTATTGTTATTATTATTATTATTATTATTATTATTATTATTATTATTATTATTATTATTATTATTATTATTATTATTATTATTATTGTTGGTGCCATTGTCAGAATCATATCATTAGTATTATTTTTATTATTATTATAATATTTTTGTTATTGCTATTATTATTATTATAATTATTATAGTTGTTGTTATTGTTTTTAGTATTATGTATTATCTTATTATTATTGTTATTACTATTAGTATTTTTTTATTGTTATTATAATTATTGTTTTTCTTATTTGTATTATTTTTGTTATTGTTCTTGTTTTAATTATAATTTTTTTTTTGTTATGTGTATCAGTATTATTATCATTATTATTATGAATATTATTATTATTATTATTTATACTTCTTTTTTTATCATAATTATCATTATCATTATCACTACTATTATTATCATTTATTATTATTATTATTATTATTATTATTATTATTATTATTATTGTTATTATTAATTATTATTATCATTATCATTATTATTGTTGGTGCATTGTCAGAATCATATCATTAGTATTATTTTTATTATTATAAAATTATTTTTGGTATTGCTATTATTATTATTATAATTATTATAGTTGTTGTTATTGTTTTTAGTATTATGTATTATCTTATTATTATTGTTATTACTATTAGTATTTTTTTTCTTAATGCTATTTCTACTACTACTCCCACTGCTGCTGCTGCTGCTGCTGCTGCTGCTACTGCTACTACTACTACTACTACTACGACTACTACTACTACTACTACTACTACTACTACTACTACTACTAATAATAATAATAATAATAATAATAATAATAATAATAATAACAATAATAATAATAATAATAATAATAATAATAATAATATATAATAATAATAATAATACAGCTACTACTACTGCTACTACAATCACTATTACTACTACTACTTTTATTATTAGTACTCATCATTGTTACCATTAATACTATCATCAACATCATCATCGCGATCAATAATGATGTAGTGATAATGATGTAAAAAGAAAAAAGTTAATAGTATTGAAGTTCTTGACCGTAATGGCGACACTGACAATAGCGATGATAGTGATAATAATTGTAAAATTATTATTAATAAATTTTAATGAGATAACAAGTACAGCAGCCCTGGCAGCAGTATTGTAATAATAACCGATAAAATAAACCTCGTCAAAGACTAATTGTCATTAATAACAATAGTATCAAATGCATAATTTTCATAATAATAACAGTAATGGTAATATTGCTGTAGTAGGAATAACAGCGCACACAAAAATATTGTATTTATAATAAAAATAATGTTTAGAGAAAATAAATTTAGGTTCGTTTTCCACACCCAAAACACACGTGAAGGGTTCAACTTGAACACGTTCAGACTTTAGCATAGTCTAAAACCTTATAAGAGAAGAAAAAACACGCCGAAGACAGCGTAAAGTGAAGAATTATTGGATATAAGGATCATGTACGTATGAATTCAAGTGCATTTCTACCAGTGAGCTATCCAAGGTTATTATGTTGTTTATTACTGACGAGTATTGAATGAAGTAATGCTCAATCTTGCTTAATATTTATTGAATATGTCATGTTCATGTTCGAATTTTATCGTTCGTTTATAAACTTAGAATAAGTACTATTCACAGAGACTTCGCGTTCGATGTTTAAATTGGTTACTAGTTTCAATGGATTGCATATGAAGTATTAGTGATAGTTTTTTTTGTAAACCAATGTTACCATTGCGGTTGAATCATAATTTGGAGAGGATGAAATGGAATATACACAAGTCATCAGAGGGTAACTTGACATAACTAATAACAATACTGAATTGTATGTGAGGACGACTTGTATGGGATTTTTTTAAGCTCACCTGTGTTAACCCTACTTGTTGGCCATTATTGAAAGTACGGCAGATGCACACCCGAGATTGTAGTTTAAGGTCCTGGTTGCACACCTGAATGATTTACAGTAGTCAACGATCAAAATTATTGTTACAATGATATGGAACGAGGAATTTACTTAAGAGTTTAGAGGACTTTGAATCATTTTGCTATCTGAAAAGTTAAGGATGTGTACTCTTGAAGTGCACATTTGGTAACCATTGCACACTGCACACTTTCTTTTATTCACAGCCAAGGTCTTGTCGAAAAGATTATTTCAAATTTCAATGAGCAACAATAGACTGATTCAGTAACGCCTAGTAACCGCCCTAGCAATGAGCACATGGTGAAAACAAACCCTCGTTCATTCGAAAACTCACTGCGCTTTGCTTACAGAGTCACTGAAATCTAGTTTCTAGAGAATCTAGTTTCTTTATGTGAAAATGCTAGGAACTGTGTTGCTGTTGGTTGTTTGAACCACAACATGATGGGAAAGAAAGGTTTAACCTTTCATATATTCCCAGATCGCGAAAAGAAACTTGAAAAATGGAAGCGATGGGTACAGGCCATGAAACATGTGAATGCTGATGGGAGTGCTTGGGCGCTGGTGGAAACTGTTTACATCTGCTCAGAACATTTTATTACATATTAATATTTTACACCTTTTCAAATTCTAAAGACAGATAAACTTTCAAACTCTATCTATATACTATCTACCAAGGCCAAACAAGGTCAACATTGCCACATTAGGTTTTGGCAGCAGTCATACACTCCAAAAAGCACAACACAATTTTACATTTTTTCTGTAATTAATTGTTTATCATATTTTAATTTACAGGCAAACCATCCCCGGATCCAACTCACCCAGACTTTATCCCAAACACAGTCCTTTAGATAAAACAAAGCAGTCATACTGTTAAAAAATTGAAATAGGAAGAAAAGAAGCCTAGCTAAGGAGATGCCAAGCATTCAGAAGAAACCAAAGTTTCCTGTTGCCTCTGTTCTGAAAAGTCATATAGTCCAGCAGATGAAACAACTGAAGAGGGCCTATCTCAAATTACTGAGGAAAGAGAAAAATGTGTTGTGCATTTGTAGGCCTTTATGTGACTTCTTATGTCTCCTTTGTGTAAACCTTGTAAATAGGAAGAAATTGATGTTAGGAAATGACATTGATTTCACATAAAAATGCCTATATAGCTAAAATCATAGATTACTGTAGCAAATTATGTTATCATAAAATCATTTTATTACATGATGTGTTGATTAAATAGTCTTAGATGTTGGGATATTCAATATTTCATAGGTTTGTCGATCCCAGTTTCGGTAGGCAGACTGTATTAGGATTCTTGGAGCTGTGCAGCTTCTAGTTTTGATTCATATTGCTTTTTCGCTTCATTTTTTGAAGAATCTAAGTCTTCATACACCATTTTGCTCGTGATGATGACGAGGTATCTGCAAGCGACCGATTTGTTTTCACCAAGTGGAATGATGACTCCGACTCGTAACGTCACACCAAATGGTCTATATAGAGAGACAGCTGTCAAGCATGTCCATATTAACTGTGCTTATGGATGCTTTGGGAAACGCCAATATTATCTAGGTGTATCCATTACTCTGTCGAAATAGACAATGGACTTCGTCTTCATTTGCAGGGAATGTCTATGGGTATTAGCTAATTACCACCTTTATCATCAGTGAAGTTTTCATAGAGATTTACACTAAAGCTGCAATGATTATCCAGAATAGAGAAATATCAACCAGTGACAAGGTGTTCTTGCTTTTTAAAGGCATTCATGCCTTACCCTTTCAGTGAACACATGATTAGTCTACTGGTACATTACAGCTACTGGTATTGGAATTAGTGATGCAAAGCTTTTTCTGAATAATTACTATTTGTGTAATTGGTAGATAATGATGTCCAACAAGATAAATAGTAAAAATAACTAGTTATTCACTCTCTTGAGTCCTAAGCACTAAGT